GATTCTCCGAGAAATAAAAATGCATAGAGCGAAGGTGAATGCAGAATCGGTCTTCAGTCTTCTCTACTCGTGCTGTTTGATGTTTTGATCTTACTGGGTGTGTCATTTTTTCTGAGAAGGAGCGAGGAGAAAAAGTGAATTTTTTGGGTGTTCCCATCTTGTGTTGTGACAGAAAAGCCAGGGTGTACTGGAGAAGATACAATTTAAGACTTGTGAACGGCTGTGGGCATCTCATCCCTCCTGTTTCCACCCCAGTTCCTGCACCCAAGGCCCAACACCAGCAGAAGGCCCTGCCCTGCTCCTTGGCTGAGATCCAAAGGGGTGTGCAGAGCTATGTGGAGACAATGAAGCTGAGTGCAAGAGTTCTCCAAACTCTTGAAAGGCAGGGTCCCACACCTTTGGTCCTTTCCTCCCCTGACATGCGCCCCATCTTGTTTTTAGAGTATCTTTCATTAAGAGTCACTTTTATCTAACTGGAGGACTAAAATAGAAGTCATTATACAGGAAAAAGGAAATGAGATAGGACATCTTAACTAAACTTTTTGGTGAGTCATGTCTTCCATCCCCTTTACAGAGCTGTAATCTTTTGCATCCTAATGGCATCTGTGTAGTATGCGGTTCTAGGACGCCCCGACACTTGCTTTCTTCTCTGAGACTCTTTCCACTAATGTTTCTGAGAGGTTGATTGGGAAAGATGGCGGCAGATCCCACCAAGGAGGAAGAAAGCAGCTTAGAAAGGCAGAAATCCCAAAAGACCAGTCTGGGCCCAGGGCTGTTGGGCTTAGCATGACTCCAGTGGCTTAAAACGAAATGACAGACACTTTCTTCTCTCCACTACCCTGTCCTCCTACCCTGCCTTACTCTACCCTACCCTTCCCTGCCATACCTTACCTATTGGATTCTACCCTACCCTACAGCAGTCCTTCCTTATTTTAAAGTAAGTGCCCAGTGCACACCACAGGCTGAGCCCAGGTATCATGGTAATAAGGGAAGCTGACTAAGTCTGCAAAGGTGGTTGGGAATCCAGCAGAAAGCTAAACTCTGGAGAATCTGCAATCAGCTGCGCTCGCAAAGGTTGACTGCTCTGGCCTAAAAAAGAAATGAAGGTTTCACAATTGAATGGGAACTAAAGAAGCAAGGATATGGTCCCTAGCATGCCTGTGAGATGCCAGTCTGGCTTTCCACCAAGATCTTCAGGTTGTCTTAGATGGAAGGCCGTCCTCTGCTGTAGAAAAGCTCACCGTTGAAGCTTTCTGCCAGGAAGAATCCTCCTACCAAGTTTGGGGAAGGGTCCTGGGAGGACATCATCTGTAAGCCATGCACACAGACAATCTCACTAGCATGGCATTAACATTTGCAATGCAATCATATTTTAATTCTAATGGCAACTGGCACTGGGAAGTTTGTGGGACTTCAGTGAAGAATGTCAGTGTATGTTGTTGGTACTGAAGAACAACCAATAATACGTTGTTCTTCAATTATTCGACAATACAGCAGTAATACATGTTGTTGCTACTGAAGAAAAATGAGTTTGTTGAGGGCCACATTGTTCCTGCCAAGATCCCAGACTCCTTTTGTAGCATCTGCCCTGTGGTGTATTTGCACCTGTGGACTGTCCGGAGTGACAGCAGGTAGTCTTGTTCCGATACCCTGACGGGTTAGGTCTCAGGTATTTTCAGGATGAATAACCTTGACCTGAGTTACAGACCTGCTCAACTGGAGTGACTGTATGACACATGCTTGCTGTCCAGTGGTTTACAGAGCAGCAGGGACCTTGTCATACTGTGTACTGCCATTCAAACCTGTCCACTCAAAAATACGCATTTGCACATGATGTCCAGGGAAAACGTTTGAGCCTAACCTGCTAGAAAACTTCATATCCTGTGGGGATTATCTGTCACCTCCAGGCAAGCATCAAAGCCATTTAGTTCCTTATAACTTCCCACCCCGACCCTGTGTGCCCTTAGGTGTGTCCCAGAGCAGTAGGAACAGGCCAGGCTGTCTCGTTTCCAAAGGATGGTCATTATAGCACACCAGTGAGGAGTGTCAAGAGCTCCCTCCCATCACTGAGCTTTTGACTCAAGAGATCTGAGAGGAGAAATGAGTGAATGGACAATAGTAGTCATTTAAAAACGTGTCAGAAAGAGCCATCAGTGTATAGTGCTTCAATCTGGGCCTCTTATCTGGACACAGGTAACAAGAGCTTAAAATCCAGAAGGATAGTGGGAGCAGCATGGTGATGCGTGGAAAACCAAGAGCTAGGAGATTTGCTTCTTGGCTGTGAGCAGTGGGCATGCTACTATTACAGACGTTCTCAGATCTTTGCCTTCCTTTCTGATAGACAGGGTTTTTCCTCCAGAGATCAGGGTGAAGATGAAGAGAAAACACCCGTGAATGCCTGACCTCAAGCCAGTGGGATGCAAGTCATAAACTCTATTTTTGTAAAGAAACTGCATTTGGAAAGTCAGTTACTGTTGGCTTTATACCATGTAAGTGTAATCTATTATTCAGGGAAAAAAAAAAAAAAAAAAAAAAAAAAAAAAAAACAACAAAACAAAACCAACACACACCAGTGATTTTTAAACTTTTGTAATTCAAATATGTGTAATTTTAATTCTTTGTACTTTCTGGTACATTCTATTTTGTTCACAAGGAACAAGCACTGCCTTCTGTAAGGTGAGAAAGCTACAAAATGACAAAAAGTATCAGTTTTTGTCACCTTATACCTACCTGGAGTCCAATCCCCACTCTGTCTGGAAAAGCTGGTGAGACAATCACTGGAAATTATTCTACCTTTAACTCACAATTTCAAGTGTTTTTCTTACATTGATTGTAAGTGGCCCATGTAATGCTAGGAATGTTGAAAACAGGCAATACATTCACAAGGCTCCAGATTTTTAAATAAGTCTTAAATAAATGTCCCATCTCAGTCTGTTCTTCAGTTTGCCATACCAATGACCTTGTTAGCAATCCTCCCCCAATTTAACCTGTGTGTGTAAAATAAGTGTTTCACCATCAAACTCTTGTTATCTAACTTAGGCCACTATGAATTATTTAGTAATTTGGACAACATGCAACACTTTTAGAGTCCAACGATGCCTACAGTAGTCCTAATTACATCATCTTGCATTAGTATGGCCATATGACTTGTCTTGCACACTGAAAACCTAGCTGCAGTCTGGGCTTCTCAAAGGTCCAGCTTAAGACCAAGGTTTCTGTAGAAAATGGACATGATACCAAGGAGGAGCAAAGTGAAGATGCTACCAGATTGGCTCCATGTGGTGTCCAGCTTGGCTATCAGACCCTAAAGGCATTCTGTTCCAAGAAGGGATGATGAATGCATCTCAGGGCAGTTCACACGGGGGAGAGGGGAGGAAGAATCCATCCATTTGTCACTGTGTGTTTTGAATGCATGTACGTATGTACACATGCATTCCTAGGGCCTGTGCAGGCCAGAGAAGGGTGATTTTTTGGAACCGGAGTTATGGATGTTTTGAAGCTGCCAAGTGGGTGCTGGGAACTGAAGTAGGGTCCTCTGCAGGAGCAGCAAGGGCTCAGTGGTTGAGTCACCTCTCGAGCTGTACACAGTGGGGCTCTTATTCTGAGTCACATGAATGGTCTTAGGGCAGCGTACCATTCCTCCTGGCTTTACGGGGAGGACAGAACAGTTCTTGGGAGCATGCCTACAGGGAAGGTGAGAGAAGGCCTGTGGCTTGCTGTTCACAAAGCGACAAGCCCAGGGAGTGAGCTTTTGCTACAGTAGTAGCTAGAACACTACCTGATGTGCCTATAATTCAAAACAGCCTTAAGCACTTGTTGTAAAATGGAATCTGTTTGCCTATATCACATTTAGTCTCTGAATTGTGAGGCAGCAAGGAAAGTGACTTTTCCTAATAAAATGAGTGAGCACAGAAGTCTATGCTCAGACTGGTAGAGGCTTCAGATGCTCAAACCCACCCACGTCTGGAAGTGGAGGCCCAGATGGACTCTTTAGCATCTGCTCATATATTCCAGAAGTATAGTGTCAAACAGGAAGTACATTCTACTTTTACCCCCGATTAGGATCTTGAAAACCACTTAATTAAATGTGTGGCCAGAGAATAGAGCCATGAATAAGATAGTTCCTTTCCTTTTTGTTTTTCTTTTTTGATAGGCTGTCCTGGAACTCACTATGTAGATCAGGCTGACCTTGAACTCACAGAGATCCATCTAACTCTGCCTCCCCTGTGGTAGGATAAATTGTGTGTACCACCATGTGTGGGCCAGATAGCTTACTCATACTGGCCAGCCATTGAGAGTTTATGCCCAGGCTCAAAGACCTGTTGTCTTGCAGGGCAGCACATGTGGGTGTACAATGAGAACTACTAGGTTCAAGGCTGCAGCCCAGTAAGGTGAGAAAGAGCAATGGGAACAGTCATCCCAGCAGGGAGTTTCCCACTCTTCTGGTGCTAATTAAAAGCTCTCTTCCCTGGAAGCCTTACAAATATTCACAGACATTGCCTACTTCCCTCACCGTTTAACTGCCAAGTCCTAGAGTTGAAGACCAATACACCCAAGGCAGAAAAAGCTGTCTTTAGAAATATCACTGTTACCCTTGGTCTTTATTTAACAATTAAAATAGCTTCTATTTGTTTTAGTAATAACAGTAAAGTTCACTTTCAAAGTTTGACAGTGGAAATGATTTCCTAGAAATAATGTACAGAAAAAAGATTTATACCCTTCAATGATACAATCAGTGGCAAGCTGGACACGTTTAGGACCACATATTTTTTTTTTAATTAAAAAGTTCTACTTAATTGTTTAAATAAAAATAACAACATTAAAATAATCTCTACATACAGTTACAAAGGATGGGAAAGTCTCTTGAAATTCTGAAAAGATGACCATGCTGTGTCCATGATGCTCTCACAGTACAGAAAACTCAAAACCAAACCTCCTGCTCCCAGGCAGGTCCTTTGAGGGTGCTGTGGAGAACTGAGTGTGAACATGGTCACGGTCACTCTAGTCAACCACTTTTATGGACTGAACGCTCGAGAGAGACTGCGTGTGGGTTGGCCTGGCTCCAAGAGACCTAGAAGATGGTATGCCGCCTTCTGGATGGATGGTCCGTGGGTACTTGGCAGCGGCTGCCTGAGGAATGGTTTGCTGTAAAGATAAGAGGCTGCTTTAATAATCAGTCTAGACATGAAGCATCATTTCATCACCCATAACCCAAACCAGCAGGCACCTGCCATCCTGTAGATACCAGCAATGCCTTGGACGGAGTTGCCATTCAAACAAACACAGTGAAGCCCTCTCTGAAAGAAACCCATTGGTTCAACAGTCACATTTAATACCTGACCCTTGAGAATCACTGCTCTAAGAGGCCTCAGAGGAAAAGGTCTACAGAGGCCAAGCATAGAAAAAGATTTCATGGTGTCTGGAGCAGGGTCAGCTCTAAACCCTGGTGTCTGGAGGGGGGGGGGGTCAGCGCTACACCATGGTGTCTGGGAAGGGGGGGATCAGCTCTACAGCATGGTGTCTAGAAGGGGGTCTGCTCTACACCACAGTGTCTGGAGTAGGGTCAGCTCTACACCATTCATCCCTTCTTCTATCCTGCTCTGGCCTTGCTTCACCTGGGAGCAGACCCAATATTTTATAGTCACACAAGAGAAGGCTTCCCAGAAGCCTTTCCTCTTTCCTTCAAGGTGGTCTTGCTATATAGCCTAGGCTGGACTTGAACTTGTGATACACCTGCCCAGCCTCCAGAATGTTGGGAATAAGGAATAGGCCACCACATCTGGTTGGATCACCACTTCCTAGACAGGGGAAGAACTGGATGTGGAGGACAAATAAAGAAAGACACTGAGGAGCAGGTGATCTGCACGTCAGTTCAAGCGTAGAACACAGAGACATGAGTGCTACAGAATTCAAGTCAGGGCAGAGCAGACAGTCTACACACGACATGTGAAATACTCATTGTGTATATACGTACATGGTACCCGTACATATATGAAAATCAGGTAAGACTTTATTGTACCTGCTACATGTGTTAGTAGTTGGCAGGGGATTTGTTTCAAGTTAAGTTCTTAGTCATGTCACACAGATTTCTATTATAGGCTCTTCCATTTAGAAAAATTTTTTATGCATTTGGGACAGGAGTGACAATGGCTCAGCTGGTAGAGGACCTGGGTTTGGTTTCCAACACTCACATAGTGGCTCACAAGAATGGCTTCTGTGGACACCAGGCATACATGTGGTGCACAGATATATATATATATAGGCAAAACATTCATAAACATAAAATTTATAAAAAATGCATTCAGCCAATTCTGTCTTAAAAGTGAGAACTCATCTACGGAGAAATGAAAAAATGGAAAAGTAACCTTTTTTTGTTTGTTTTTTTTTTTTTTGAGACAGAGTTTCTCTGTATTGCTTTGGAGCCTGTCTTGGAATTCAGTCTGTAGACCAGGCTGCAAGTCTGGCCATGGACTCTGTCTCTGTTTCCAGAGTGCTGGGATTGAAGGCGTGCACTACCAACGCCCAACTTCTTAAGGTATCTTATACAGATGTTTCTCCAACTATAAATATATGGATAACAATTACAAATGGGAGATTCTTACAGTTGGTATGAAATTTCAGTTGGTAAGCACCAAATATGACATGATTTATCAAAGCTATCTCCTCCTGAGATGGGTAAGAGGAACTTTAGAAAGAGATTAGAATTCCCATGGGTATTATGATCTACAAAATATGGTAGAACATGAAATCAGCCCCAGAAGCAAGTAAATACCCAGCAGACGGGCAAAGGTGCTACAAACAGATCAATGCTTTATTGGCAATAATGGTTTCTGCTAGTTTAGATCTTGATTCCCAGGGAACAATTCAAGCAACACAGAGGACCACAACTATCACGTGACAAAAACTAAGCAAGAACACAATGGGTTTCTGGATCTCTGACTCACAGCCACCTACCACCAGACCAGTACTGCATACATACTGAACAGCAGCAGGCAGCCCAGGAGAGAACGTTAAAGAAAGTGGTTCTAAGAGTCTAGTTCCTCAAAGTGTAGATTTGAATAAACTATTTGATGGAGGCTTAATAGATATTTGATAGAGGGTTATTAACCAGAACTCAGGGAAATTAAGGAAAGCAGGAAAGAATGATGTAATACTTAGAGAAAAGGGATTGATGAAAGCAGATAAAATTCTGCTCCATTACAACAAGAAGAATAAAAAACAAGCTGAATTTGGGAGGGAGGAGGAGAGTCAGATGTGGGGAGGTGGGGTGGGTAGGAAGGATTGGAGAAATGATGTGATTTTCCTTTAACTCACTAAAAATCTTAAATGAAAAGATTCTAGTTCCTCAGTTCCTCCACTCTCTCTACTAGGGCTGGAGAGACAGCCCAGATGTTGGGAGCACTTTCTACTCTTGCAGAGGACTGAGGCTCAATTCCCAGCACCCACATGGCAGCTCACAACTATTGATCTGCAAATCCAGATCTAGGGGATCTGATACCGTCTTCTGGACCAGACATACATGTGGTGCACAGAAAACATGTAAGCAAACACTCAAAGATTAGAAAATAAAGAAAAAGAGAAAAGAAACGGAAAACCCCATGTAAGCCAGGCTTCCTAACGGTTCTGTCGTTTACAAAATGCCTCTGTAGATGTCACCTTACTTTGTGTATCATCTCATTTAATCCTGAGCCCTGACACTGTTCCAGAAGCTCAGTACTCTTACCAACCCCATTTCACAGAAGAGAGAATGGAGCTGAACTATCTGCCTTGTGCTGTGTCTCTGTCCAGAATTGCAAGTGGTGGTAACAACTGGCATGGTTTTCACCCGCCCCTGCTTCAAGCCTATGCATCTTCCCTTGTGCCATCTGTATTTCTTGCAACTCAGCATTCTTTAACACAGAGATTTTTCAGCTATGCTATTGAGACACACTGGGAAATACAAGGGCAAGAGTGAGCACTCTAAGGACATTTTCTTACAATCAACACCTGATGCAGTAAACTGTTTTTCTTTTTTTCCCCCTTGTTCCATGCAATCTTTATAATTTACTGTTTTAGCAGTTGACATACTGGATTACCGTTTCTATTTGATCATTTTTATGCCATTTGTAATGGCAATTTTACAGACTTAGAATAAAAATGGCACCAATGCCCAACCATGAATGCCAGGGTTGATTAGGGGACAAACTCATGAAAAAGAAAGTTCCTGACAGGACTCACCACTGTAACTGGATGATGCTTCTCCACGACCACTGAGCTCATGGGGGGAGAAACTCCCATGATGGCCAAACTGCTGTTGATTCTGGTTTTGGAAGCAAAATCACACCGACCTGTGATTCGAGCTGTAATTGTCTTCCCGGCTTTCTGCTGGGCTGAAGTCACAACTCTTGGCATGTACTAGAAAACAAAATCAAACACCCATCTAGGGGAAGAGCCACTGCACAATTTATTATATTACTTGCTTGTGAAATTTTCAAAGAAAAACACACAGCACTTAAAACCTAATGAGACAAAAAGGCAAAACAAAACCGAAATATTCCCAAACTCCAAAATATTCCTCTAATCTTGGTATGTCAACTATTTAAAAACATTTTGAGGTTTAAAACCCTTACTTTGAAATCACAGACTCCGAGGAAGTCTTCTTGTGTGTTCTGTTAGGTTTCTGCAAGAATCAAATCCTACCTGGAGTAAACCACATCCATCGACACCAGCCCACTGGTGCAGCAGGAGACTGTGTACACACCTGTGCCATTTTACTACGTGCAGATTCCAAACCACTGCCGCCAAGCCACAATGTGCTTACTCCATCAAACACACCACCCCTCGCCCATTTCCCCTTCTCCCACTCATCCTCCATGGTACCAGACACTATGACTTCAATCCTCAGGTAGAATTATCATTACATGTATTTTTATACATGTTTTTGTCCTGCATCAGCTGGGCTGGGAGTATTACTGGGTGGTTTGATTATTACTAAGAGTATTACTATGGGTTTGATTCTTAGCTCCACAAACAAAAAAAAAAGTAAATAGTCCTGGTGGATAGTAACTTCATTTAAGGACTGCAGATACTTCACCAGCAATATAAACGTTTTCCTTATGTATTTCCTTCCTTGGGTGTTTGATCTATGGGTGTATATGTTTGTGCAGCACATGCAGAAGCCAGAGAGAGGCTGGGTGTGTTGTTGGGCTTGCTGGGAGGCCATCGAGCTCCCAGGACCCACCTGTCTGTCTCCCCTGCCCTTTCACAGTCCTTCCCTGGTCCCATGCTGGGGCTATAGTCACATGCACCCATGCCTGGCTTTTATGAAAAGAAGTGATGGGATTTGGAATTAGGTCCTCAATTACTTTTCCAGCTGAGCCATCTCCCCAGGCCCATGTTTCTTTCAGTCTTCAGTCTTTAATCTTATCAATGACAACTCGTCTTACTTGTACAGCTTTGGAGAGCTACATTAATTATGCTCTTCTAACATGTACCCATTTTAGTGGAACTGAAATGCCATGTGAAGTATCAGTCTAAATGCAAGTTTCTTCCTCAATAGTTCTTCCAAAAGCATTGGATCAATATTGGTCCTTTCCCCATGGTCTGGCCCATCCAAGGTTCTCTCTTTATCTGCAGTCAGCTGCAGTTGATCAGAGCTGTCTACCGAATCATGGAGAGGATAATCAAGGAGACATGGCTCTGGGGAAATTAAAACAACCCAGAGGAAAACAACATTTAATAGGGTTGTGTAATTCCTTAAAGAATCTGGAAAGAATTTGTTACAGTTCCATAAAAACCCAAGCAAAGGCAAAAATGAAGCAATTAATTTTAGGAACTGAAAATATGCTGGAAGGAAATGTCATTATATACATTCAAGGCTTAGCTGTATTTACACAGGAATCTCAAATACTGATTAAATTGAAAGCTGGAACTGCTATGTCTAAACATTAATACAGGAAGAGAGGATAGCAGAAGGCTAAGGTGGTGTCATAAGCCCAAATCCTTCACCCACAGGAGGAAGTCAACAGACAATGACTGGGATTTAGAAACATGATAATGATAGGAACACACTGTTCAAGAAAAGATGACAGAAATAAACAGCTGACAGCTTGGGGAAGGGGATTTGGAAGACTGTTGTTGAAATTTAAGGACTGCTTTTTTAATTAGTGAACTTTATGGATCTTATGTATCTATGCAAACAAATCTCAGATTTTAAGATGTTCACAGAGCTGCAAACATGGCTCAGTGGTTAAACACACGGACTGCTCTTCAGAGGGACGGAATTTAAATCCCAGCAATCAAATTAGGTGACACACAACCACCTGTAATCTAGCTCCAGGGGATCTGATACTTCTAGCCTCTGTGGGCACTCGCCTCCAACTCATACTTAAAAACAATAAAACCAAATTAGAATAGATGTTCATAGATGTTTTGCAGACTAAATTATGTTTCTATCTTCACAAAATGATATATTACATATGTATATAATATATTCATCAGCAAACATAAAGTACTGAATATTTTGTGAATGAATGAGTTTGTTTTGGGGGGAGAGTGGCAACTAGGGAATGAATCTATAATTCATATATGCCAGGAATTTATTCTACCAGTAGTGAAGATTTGTAAATGCTATTTTAGAAGATAACATTAATAGTTGACAAGACAATCCACCAGAACTGAGAATCAGCTCAGGGCTAGAGCACTTGTATGGGTTGAGCCCTGGGTATGATCCTTAGCAGTGGGACCCCAACCCCAAGCAAATCCTAGGCCACTCCTGAAGACTGAGGTAGAACCGAGCCTCCAACACCCAAAGGTGATCCTCACATGCCCACCGCAGTCGCTCATCTCACATGGAGAGGGAGAGAATGTATGACAACCTGGGAAAGTTTGGAAAGAAACACCAGAGTAGCCAGATCATCCCATACAGATGATCAACTACCCCGCCCCAGCTAAGAGCTGCTTCAGACTGCCCCATGAGATGAAGAGAGGACATGCAAAGATCCCACCTTCAGTCACAAGTTTAAAAGAATTCACCTGCAATGGCCTGCACATTTGTAGAGTTGTCTGTCACTTGCTAACTGTATTGTACACACAGGCATACAGGAAGTGAGGCTGGGGAGATGGCTAGGTTGTCAACAGCACCTCCTGCTCTTCCAGGGTCTGGATTTTGTTCTCAGCACTTATTGACTGCCGTATAACCACCTATAACTCCAGCAGCTCAGACGCCCAGTTTCGGCCAATATGGGCATTCCCTCATACCACACAAATTTACAAAACAATACTTATGTAATCCAAATAGTTTAAACTGGGGGGGGGGGAAGAGCTGTTTTTTTTTTTTTTTAAACAAGATAAGAATGTTTTAGAAAGAATTTATATGAATAATTATTAGAAAAAGATTTTTGTTAAATTAGCTGGCAGGGAGAAAACAAAACTATAGCAGATAGTGTTGAACATTTTACTAGTTCATAACAAGCGTTACAGAGACTGACTTTGGGAAGCAGAAAGCATACTGAGAAAGGCGTATTCTAGAGAGGCCATTTATTTACAACCCGTAACCAACCACACGTAGCCTGACTGCTGAAAACTGGCTCTTTTGAGTGCTAATTACACCCACAAGGGGTCACCCTTTATAAACCTCAATTTTCTCACTTATAAAATGGGAAAACAGTACCAGCTACCTCACAATACTTCTCATTTCCATTCTGATGGATGGAGAAGTTAGAAGAAAAACTTGAGTAAACAGTTTGGAAGCCCAGCTAAGAACATTTTCCTCAGTGACTCCAACTATACTTAAAACCAGAGGAGCATAGCGCCCTCTACTGTCCAGCTCTGTGACTGAAACAGTTTGCTGGGATAACTGCCTGAAGTTCTTTTGTGGGGTGTGTGGTAGGGTGGGGTGCAGTTCAGACAGGCTTACTTTTAAAACAAGAAGACAGAGCTGGGGTGAACCCGAGTGTTTGAATTACACAGAAGAGAAGCCTTTACACTGCGCTTACAGACCTGTGGGGCTCCTGCCCCTGTCCTGGAAGACGCTCTGCTCTTTGGGTACTGAATGTGGAAGTGTGCTGTAGCTATCACTCCTGGGACAGTACTTTTGGATTACTTTTCACTATAGACTAACGTTTTCGCCACTTTCTGTCCTGAGTACTTTCTGTGGGTTGACCCAAGTAGCATGTTGACTACTTTTTTTTTTTTTTATTTTTTAAAACACATCTTATTCTTTGCTCCCATTTATTGAAAATAGATTTTTTTCCCTCCTCATATAATATATCCTCATTATGGCTTCCCCTACCTTTACTCCTCCCAGTTCCTCCCAAACTCCCTTCCCATCTGGATCGATTCCCTTTCTGTCTCTCATTAGAAAACAAGCAGGTTTCTAGGAGGTAAAAATAAAATACAGCAAGATTAAGAAAAAAAAAAAAAACAATATGTCAGAATTGGACAATACACATAGAAGGAAAAGATCCCAAGAGGAGGCACAAGAATGCAAGATCTACTTATTCACACACTCAGGGGTCTCATAAAACACTAAACTGGAAGCCATAACACATGCATGCAAACCATCTGGTGCAGACCCGTGTGGGCCACGTGCGCGCACTGAGTTCACAGGAGCTTTGATCACATTTATGTTGACCTTTTCCCTCTGTTTTTGATATCATATTTACAGCATTGGGGGATGGGAGCTTAACTGGGTTTGATCCTTAGAACTACATATACAAACATGAACAAGTGAATGAATACAAAGCCAGATCCCCAAAAACACCATAACAACTGGCCTTGTGTGTGTCACACACACACACACACACACACACACACACACACATACACACAGGCAAATGAGAAGGGCTATCTGCACAATTTTTCATGTTTCAAAGACTTCAGAATTATCTGAGGAAGTAAGCAGCATGAGGTGGCGAGCAGACTCACTCACACGCACACTTGCATGCAGGGTCAGGTCTACACGAAGACTCTGATATAGTCCTATTTTAAGGAGATTTTGAAAAATCTAGCTTTGTGTTATCTGCATATGCAACACGAATGGCAAATTAGACATTTAAATAAACTCCTACTGTGTTTATTTAAATGAGATCATCTACACAGGATTGTACTCCAGGATGCATAATCGTGGAAAATAAACACAGCTGAACATATGTCAAGGCTGGATTTTTAGTCTTATTTCTAAGTCAAAATTCCTCCACACATTCATATTCCTTTTACTATATACACATGTGCTATGTACTTTAACTTCAGGCAAGAGCAAACATGGCAAACAGTAGATCTCTACATAGTTTCCTCCAAAATTAGTAGCTCTAAAATGAAGAGATTCAAGTGAGCTAGAAGACAAAATATGACTAGTTGTCTGGCCAAATCTGTCTTTTTTCATTTACAGAGAGTTCTCTAGAGTGATGGTGCCTGGTCATGGCCCACCAGGAAGGATTTAACACAACACAGCAGAGTGTGGCTGTTCACATCTGTCATCTTAAAACTAGGGAGGCTGAGGCAGGAGCTTATAAATTTGAAGCCAACCTGAAGTGAGTCTGTCCGTCTGTCTATCTCTGTCTGTCTCCCTCTCTTCCATCCCCAACATGATAAACAGTAAGAGAGAAAAAAGTCCTAAACTCCTTTCTGTTGTGTCAGTGGCTAGACTCAAAGGAGAGGAGGGAAGGGTGGCCTCGGGAACATTATGTCACATGCCTTTGTGTGAGGGCAACACCAGACAGGGAAGTGGGTTGTAGAGTTGAGTTGGACAAGTTGGTGGTTGTCAGTACGCTGTTCCCTCTTGAGTCACAGCCATGATGGCCTCTGTCAGCAGCCTCATTAATGACCTCAAAATCACACTTCTCCGTCCTGTGCAGCCCCCTTCGCACAATGACTGTCCCTCTCCTCATCTCAACAGGGTTACAAATGAACAACACAGATGCAATCACTTGTGTGTGATAGCCACTTAGGAAAAAAGGGACAGGAAGCACCTCTCTGAGCCTTCTAAGCCCTGAAAATACTCTCGAGTTTGCTTCAAAGAACACCTGTTATTAATGCTTTCTCAAACAAAACCTATTTTTCTGCAATATTTTGGATTACCTTCACTACAAATTAACGTTTTAGCCACTTTCTGTCTTGCATACTTTCTGTGAGTTGGTCAAGTACCACACTGATCTTTTTCTCTATGTTCTCCATATCCCATTTACAGTTCTGAGGATGAGAGCTTGACTGGGTTATTAGCTCCTTAGTACTACATATACAAATATGAGCAAATGAAGGGCTGCAGAGCCTGATCCCCACAAACACCATAACAAGACATACATGCTTTGAAGCCTTTCCCAGTGTAGCGCTTGCACGAACGGTACTAACCATTTCTTCCGGGGCAGCAGCAGCTGCAGACCCTGCACCAACAACAGAGATGACGGGAACATGAACAGAGGAGGCGGATGTGGCTCCTGCAGAGGTCATGGAGGCAGCGGAGGGAATGGCAGTGACACAGGCTGCTCCTGCAGCTGCGGTTGCAGATGGCAGCAGCTGCGACGGGACTGCAGAAGGTATCGTGGATGAAGAAGTATCCAAATGAGCAGAAAACTCTCTTCCCGGACCACTGGGGACACTGTCCTCCTTTTTATTATTTGTGAAGTCTATCCCTACAAATCACAAATCCAGTCTATTAACAGTAGCCCAAATTAAGATTACAACCCTCCCAACAAGGAAAAGACCAACGGCTAAAATAGAGTTCTCATGGAAATGCAGATAGGTCATCGTGGGGGTTTACTGGTCACTTAATTCAGTGTCAGCATTAACTGGCTAATGTCAACTTCAGATGAGGTGGGAGCTTCAGCATGGGAGAGCTAACAAATGATCTGCTCAAGAAAAAGATAAGAATGAACCATGTGCTCCGCTGGAGCCTGGCAAGGTGCACTGCCATCGAAACCCAGCACTGCGGTGACATATGTGGGCTCACAGGGTGGGAGGGTCTGCAGCCTTCCCACTGCACGCAATTCTGCCACACGGCCTGCTATTAGAGCTTTGCAACTGTTCTCCCATTTCAGCATCCTCCTCCTGTCAATTATTACTTCTATTTTGACAAAAGCAAGGCGTTTTCCCTCTTGATTATCTCAGCAAGCCATAAATAAATGAGACACAAATTATGAACTAGCTGCAGGGACTCTGGCTCCTTCACAAAGGGACCTAGCTCTGATCTAGGGAGTGAATGGACTCAACTTTCAGAAGGTAGGACAAGGGCCTTCACCCAATTTCTGACATTTCCCCTGAAGACTTAGAATGTGGCTAGTTTTCACCCGAACTATCTCTGGATTTGAAAACGTAATGAGATGTTGTAGATACTGAGGAAAACATTGTATTAGATGCCTGGTCTTCAGTGATATGCACATTATATATGCATAGTAATAATGATCATATTAAAGCTTAACAATGGTTATAGCTCAAAGATCTTTCCAACTCTAATGAAAGCAACTATTCCACATAAAATATCCCTTATAATTTGAAAATTGCACACATACACACATGCACGCATGCATCCTCCCACACCTTTTCACAGAGGTTGAACGTGTCTTTGGCAGAAAGTAACTCTGTATGGCAGATATCCATGATATCCATGGATTAAAACCAGAGAAAAGGTCAGGTATGAACAGGCAGGTGACCAGCTCTCACTGATGAAGGGTCATTTATAAAGGTTCTATTCACGGATCTCTCTTTAATGGGGAGACATCTCTCTCACTTTTCTACTGTGTCTAACTGCTTGAAAACTCTACATCCACCATTTTAAGGATGTTTTAAAATGAAGGCACAAGAACTAGATAAGTTTTCATGGGACTGAAATAATTTTAATGAAATCAAACTCTCATAAATACGCACATAGGCCATGGCTAATTCTGATAGAAAGATGTGCCCAAACACTACCACCCAGTATCATTTATTTGTTCCTTAAATAATAAATGTTTGGTGACGATTTAAGATGTAGGCAAGCCAAGCACAGACACTTTTTTTTTTTTTTTTTTTACAGGAGTGTAATCAAATCATAGTGTACCATGAAGCCATCTCTGATTTATTAGCAGAGTGCCCCAGTTGGATGTAATAAGAGGGATACTGAGGAAGGGCTTGGGTACTTGCATGAGCTTGGGAGACTGACTTTAGCTGATGACAAGGGTCTTATGCTGCTGTCTTGTCTCACAGAGTGCCTTCTGCCCCTTCGCTGCCTCTCTGTAAGAATACCCTATGGGCTTTGCTTGGATAAGGGTCTAAAGCTCAATGAGGGAACTGGCCCCACCATAACCTGGTAGCAAATGATTGTGGTCATGTGTTCTAATTCACGAAGACAAAACTATTACAAAGACTTAAAAAAAAAATTATTTTACTGATAAAATAGGTTTTTAGAAAACTGGCTAGGTTAGAAATATTTAATCAACAAGCTTGTTTATGAAATGTGTGCAAAAATGAAAATAGGGACTTCATGTTTAGAGGCATTAAAATTATTAGTTGAGACGACCTCAAAATGTTAAATGTTAAAAAATGAGCATTGTTTTGTTTGTGCATGGTGATGCATGGCTAAAATTCCAGTCCTCGGAAGGCTGAAGAAGGACATGAATTTGAGGCCAAATTGGGTTACATAGCTAGATGCCATCTCAAATAAATAAATTAATAAATAAAAGGAAGGAATCATTCTGACAGCAATCTTAAGAAAGAATTGAGAATTCTATTCATCGGCTCTAAAGCACCAGGTACGAGAATAAGCTAACTATTATGGTGGACTGTGAGCTCGGCACGAGCCTATGAAAGTACAAACGAGTGATACACAGACAAGGCACAGTCAGCAGAATAGAAATAGTCACTCATTCCCCTGGAGCTCCTTCTGAAACTAAGCAGAGAATACTCTTCCATAAACTACTCACCTGTATCATTTTTGTTCTGAAATATGGTCATTGCTTCCAGGTTTAATGCACACACCCCCCTCATGAACGCTTTCTTCATGGAGTCTTCAAAGTGCTCTTTTTCTTGTTGCATTCTTTGAATCTCAGCTTTTGCATTTTCCAAAGCTCCAGATAACTAGAGAATTTCACAAGGAGGGAGAGGGTTGAAACACAAGCAAGAATATTATTGTCAAAAAACAGACTAAGATTATTTTTTGTTATTTATCTATGTCTTTAATTTTTTGAAACAGGATCCTGTTTCTTGTAATAGTAACAGAATTTGTGAAAAGCAAATGCTATTTACAGAATCTAAAGTACATAGTGAATTTTGATAAAACCCACTTTCCCACAGACCAAACCTAAAAAGTCTCCATCTTTTCTGTATGCTATTATGAACTGCAGAAATTACATATACTATAAATTTATTTTGTGTGTGTGTGTCTGTATGCGTGTATATGGATGTGCATGTGTACGTGTGTGCATGTGGAGGCCAGAGATGAACCTCCGGTGTTCTCTTTGGCCCCTGTCTACATTGTTTCCGGAGGCAGATCTCTCACGGTGTGGGGCTCTCTGATCTGCTTGGGCAGGCTGCATTGGGCAGGCTGCATTGGGCAGGCTGCAGTGAGGCCCGGGGAGCCTCCTGTCTTGGTCTCGGCAGTGCTGGGATACAAGAGCCCAGCTCTTTAACAAAGTAGACTCTGGGACTCGAACTCGGTTTCTCCTGCTCGTAAGGTAAGCAGTTTACCGACTGAAACATCTCTCTAGCTCTGTTAACTTTATTTTAATACTATTTAGTGTTGTAAGAAAACCTTTTTGTTTTTCCTTTTAGTATGAGCTCTGCATTCGACATGTCTATAGTTTTCTCTTCCCCTTTCATGATCCAAATAATTTCCTTGGAAACAAAGTGAATTCTATTATTGAAAGTCAGAGAAAAAATAATTCAATGTATATACATTTGCTTCATATCAAATTTACATAGCATAGTTTATTTAATTTAAGAAAGATAAACACTTTTAAATTTTTGTTCTTGGACACTAAAAATCATAGTCTACACAATTCTCCTATACAAAGTAGAAATCTTATTCTCTATTTGTTCTTTTCTCATATTTTACACCCTGACCAGTTTCTCTTCCCTCCACTCCCCCCAGGCCCCACCACTCTACCCCAAATCCACTCCCCCCTCCACTCCCCTTCAGAAAAGAGCAGGTCCCCCAGGGATGTCAACCAAACACAGCACAAGTTACAAGACTAGGCACCCTCATACTGAGGATGGGCAAGGCAATCCCTTAGGAGGAAGAGCAGGCAGAAGGGTCTGAGTCACGCCCGACTCTCACTGTTAGGAGTCCCACAGGAACACCAAGCTACACAACCATAATGTGTACGAGAGGACCTAGCTCAGACCCACACAGGCTCGGTGACTGCCACTTCAGTTTCTGTGAGGCCCTGCTTAGTTGACTCTGTGGGCCGTGTTCTTGTTTAGAAAGCAGCTTACCATTGCAAGTTTGGCTTCATAATCATTGGAGATCTGCACACAGACTTCTTCAGCCCTCGCTTGGCATGCCCGTTCCACTACCTCTTTCCACTGCCTCTGTATCACGGAACGCCAGCCCTTCCAGACTTTCTTGAGCAAAGTTCTCTGGAAGTACTGGTCAGCCAGTTTACCTTCATAGACCTGAGCAAAAGCAACATCCAACCTCAGAGCCACAGAGAACTGGTAAATACATGGGGAGTCTAAGAACAATAGCACAGTGGGAAGTGCGTGATGCCCATCACTAACCCTGTACAGTCACGCTGCTGCACACGGGAAACTGGCCTAGAGAGGTTCAGTAATCAGCTTGGCCACACAGGTAGGAAGGGGTTGGGCTCGCCTGGTTCTAGAGCCTGTGTTCTTAGTCATGACATCACAGCTCAACATGGCTTATCAAGTCAAAAAACAAGAAACTTGTCACCTCAGTCATTAATCTGCATGACCCTTAGGTGAAAGCCGGAACTGGAGAGTAACAGAATGGCTGGAAGGTAAAAGGGCGGTGGCTGTGGTTCAGGCGGTACTACTTTGCTTTCCGCTTGGTGGAAATAGTTACTTACTCACATTGTCGCCCTCCACAACACCGAGATGAACAAAGTAAAAAACAAACTATTTCCTTTTATCAGTGAATGCTTTTCAAGTAGTTGCACTTCTTAATTTTCTTAAAATTAAAACACTATTAAAAGTGATGGTAACCTCACAAGTGCGCTCCACTGCTGAGCTTCTCTACAGTCCCACTTTTATACTTTTAACAGGGTTTTGTCCTTCAAAGACAGTCTTGTTATGCATGCTAAGCTGACAATTCACAATCCTCCTGCCTCAGCTCTCAATTACTGCAATCACAGTGCAAACACACTATGTCTGGCCTTAGTAATGCATTGCTCTTTATTATATTAATAAAGAACAAATATCACTATTTTTGATACACTGTCTCAGTAATTACTTAATGAAAACAATGAAATTCAGGTATAAACGTGTAAAAGCCTATCTAACATGACCTCCTTTAATTCTTATGCTAAGTTAGGAACAAATACACCTGCATCATTTTATGTATAATTATAGTAATGTCTGTCTACGAGGAGGCTGTACTTAGGTATTTATTAGTTATCAGCATTTCTTTTAGAGCCAGCATTTTGCTATGTTGCTCAGGCTGGGCTCAAACATTGGGCTCAAGTGATGCCCCTGCTTCAGCCTCCTGAGAATACACATACGTGCAGCTACACATTGTTAGATGTGTCAGAAGCTGAAACAAAAGAGGAATCACATGACCTGTTTAAGGCTATAAATTCTTTTTCCAAATAACCACTTCCGAGGTTAGGTCTCTTAAAGAGTTTCATTAGCAAGGTATTAATAAGTTAGGTACAATCCTTATTAAACTACAATGAAGCAGCAAATGGCTTATCTGTCATAATATACATGTCTTATGTTAATACAACCTGAGACGTATTTTTCTAAATGTATCAAAATCATATTTCTTTGAAATCAGAGCAACATTATGACTTAATTTATCCAGACTCATTAGAAAACCAATTTTGACTTTAGCAAGAGTTCTATTAGTTCACCCTAACGTCTCTCTAATTGGAAATCTAATATCTGACAGTGGTCATCTTTTTTATACTTACATCCTGTCTTGATTTGACATGGCTGATTCGCCAGTGGAAGAAAGTCTTCATTAACTCTATCCTTTCCTTTTGCTTGCCGATGGCATGAGACAAGCTGGAGATCACCTGTAAACAGTAGTAACCCAGTTACTGTGATACTATGACAGCAGCAACTTACTTGAGCAAAGGACACACATCCTTATGTGCTTTATTGTGTCTTAAGCTAGGTGGTGCCTAGCTGCTCACTTTATTCATTTTCGTAAAGTGATGTTCTCATGTAAAAATGCTAGAGAGAACAGTTATGGGTACCAACTCTGTTCATCAATTAGCTCATCTTTCTTTCTGTGTTTTGACACTGTCTCACTATGTAGCTTAGGCTCAACTCAGACTTGTATTCCTTCTCCCACCTCAGAGTCCTGAGTGCTGGTATATGTCGGTGTGCTGCTCAGCATAGACTATGACTACGAAGACCAGGTTTCAATGAGTGATGGGAAAGAGGGAAAGAAATCTTCATTGTGTGAATATCTTGTTACTCCCCAATAAAGTTTACATGCATGAGGATTAACACACTTATAACATTTACTTCATGAAGATAAGTGTGCATTTGAAAGTTGTTACATATTTAGAATGTCTTTACGAGAGGGCCTGTCTTGCTAGTCTTTGGCTATAGAAGTTTCTCAGTATTTAATTATTTTGTGGTTTCAACAAATTTATAAAACCAATACCTCAGTTTTAATGGTTTTCTTGAATACTGTTATTACTATCCTTAAAATGTGTTTAACTACTGAGATAAACTCTCTTTTTCAGAAAACTACATTACTGAAATCTATCTGAAATGAGACACATTGAAATAACCCAGTAAACCACAGTTACCACAAGACCCTGAGTCCTAGTTTATATTTTCCCCTTTCAGACAAGAGTCTTGCTGGTTCCCAGCTGGCCTTGAACCTGTGATCCTCCTTACCTCCACCTTTTAAATACAGAGATCACATGCATACCATGCCCAGCCTTGCTTTCCCTTTCTAAGTAGGGAAGGGCAGTCTGAGTGTCCGCTATATTCCATGTCTTAAACAGAATATATAGCTGTTCAATTTACCCATTCCCATAAATAGAACATAAGCATATTCATTTTGTATGATACTTCAAGGTCAGAAAATTAGAAATTTTGAAGATAACAGAGAAAATGACAACATCTCAACAAAGCAAACTACATAAAATGTTTGATTTTATACTATACCAGTAAAAAAACATTAACAATGCACATCTGAAAAAAAAAGTCACCTTGCCTGCTGTGTGCATTATGTCTATAATCCCAGAAGGTGGGAGATAGCCATAGGACTTCCAGCTGAGAGGCCAGCCTGGGCTACACAGAGTTGGAGGCTAGCCTAGGTGACACAGTGAGACCCTGTCTTAAAAAGTCAAGCCATAATAAACCTGTCACTGTTATCTGACTGGGGGCAAGTCTGCCTTGAGTCCCTTGGTGACATCTAGCACATTCTCATCCATAATCAGATGTGAGTCAGCAGGGCACAGATGTACTGCCCACTACTGCTTAAGAAGTGATCAGGAGGCAAAAAAACTCGGACCAGTTTGAACTCTACCCTCAGGTTTTTAAGAAGAAGTCAAGAGGAAGCGAAGAGTATTTTCTGTGTTCATCTCCATCAACGAATAAATACTGATAGAGTCTGAGATGCTTATTATACTGTCATCTGCGAGGATGAAGAATGTAGGTAATGCTGGCTCCTCGATAGAAAAGCCTAGTATGTCTACATCTACAATGAGCAGGCTCTTAAAGCGTAGGAAACACCAAAGCCCACGACACTAGTGTCTAATAAGAATAAAACCATGGCTGTGCACGCAGCTTCTCCTCCTGTCTTATGGGAGCAGGACAAGCATAGTTCTGGCAGTCTGCTGAGTCTCACTTAAAGGGAGGCATAGAAAGAGGACCTCATCCTTTCTCCCCAGGGAGATCTCAAAGGCTTTCTGTAGCTCCTTCAAGTCAGCGATCTGGTTGGACAGCTGCTGTATGTGTGCCGCGTGCTTTTCCTTCTCCTTTTTCATCTCCATTCGGTGCCAGTCAATAAAATTAAGTCTCCACTTACATAACTCAGATATAATGTTTGTCTGAAAAGAAAACATAAGCCATTTTTTCTTTCAAACCACTCTTAAAATTAAGCTGAAAATAAACATTAAAAAAGACCAGGTCAACACAAGAGCTATTTTAAAAAATGGCAACACACTAATAAATGATGATTGCTATGGCTCTTCACAGTTCATTCACCATATCAAGGGAATTATTTTTTCTCCTATTTTATGTTACTTTGTGTGAAATCTATGACATTAAAAAAATTCAGGTCTCACTCACTAAATTCCTTTGTGTAGTCAATGGATTTAAATGTCCACATTAAAATAGATTAATTAGGTAGGGCTGGAGAGATGGCTCAGCAGGTATGAGCACTGGCTGCTCTTCTGGAAGACCTGAGCTCAAGTACTAGCACTCATATGGTGGCTAGCCATCAGCAACTCTAGTCCTGTGAGATCTGATACCTTCTTCTGTCATTCCATGGACACTGCAAGCATGGATGCACTTACATACAAATAGGCATAACATCCCTACACCTAAGATTAAAAAAATAAAATGTAAAAAAAAAAAAAAGGATCAGGTGAAGAAATGTAGGTGTATGGGCTAAGCTGAGGGACAATGACTGGCTGATTAGTGGTGGTGGTGGTAGTTGGAAGCTAAAGTTTTCCTCAAAACAATTTACCATGGCAGTCACCTTACAACAAAGAGCTAAGCCTGTTCACTCTACTGACTTTTATGAGTAAAAACACCAATTAATTAATGATCATCTAAAAATAAGAAAAACCTTCGATATATATTATTGGTTAACAGAGAATAGTTTGAAAGGCTGGCTGTACTATATGAAATAGATTCAATAGATTTTTTTTCTATTCCCATACCATGAAACCATTCCAAGGGAGGACGGTAGAAACTGTTGCCAGAATATCTCTAGAGTTTAAGGTTCAAAAACAGGAAGATACTGGTGTCACAGAATTCATGTGATCATAATTTTATGTATGTAAATAACTAACTATATGCTTCAGAAAAGTTCATTTTCTCCAAGTTTACAATAGTTAAATCATATTATTTAAGACACTTGTTTTTCATCATGTCTAAGTCTCCGTATGTGAACATGAGCATAGGTGTCCACGAGACCAGAGGTTTCAGATATCCTGGAGCTAGAGTTCCAGAAGCTTGTGACCCAATGACAGGTGCTGGAAATTGAACTTCAACCCTCTGCAAGAGCAGTACTTTTGCTCTTAGCCACTGGGCCATCTCTCCAGCCCTCTCCATTTAAAAAAAAAAGGGGGGGGGGGAGAATCAGGACATTTCTGTAATACTGTAATATTGGTAGGTTATTAACATCACCAAACAAAAATATTTTCATAGATTCTTCAGACATATATTGTGGCTTCTATAAAATCAATATACACTGGTAAAGTATATACTTTTCAAACATAAAAGGCCCTCCAATCTCAGCCTCCCAAACAGCTGTGACTGCAGGGGTACAGCCCTCCTAAGCCACTATTTGTCATCACTAGGGGCTGAAGAGACTGAAGTAGTGTTAATCACCACTGAACGTCACATCAAGAAACACACAAGAAATGTGGTGGAACACATAGTATCCTAGCAAGTCCTTAAAAACTTGCAACTCAAAGTATGGCTTAGAAACCAGTAATAGGACCTAGGAGCGTGCAACATGTAATCGTAGGCTCTACCTAAAACATACTAAGTACCAAGCCACAGTTTAACAAGACACCGAGACATATTTGCACTAAAGACTCAGAAGCACAAATGTAAGACCCCGGATGGATCACCCTATAGGCTCAAGTGTCAGACTGCAGTGCATATGGCGGCAGAGCAAGGGCAATACCTTAAGACCTGAGCTCCAGACGTCAAGTACACTCTCCACCTTCTGAAGATTTTCATCAGAAACAAGACGGTCGCCCACAAGTATTTCAGGGGCATCTGGATGAGTAGAAGTAGAGGCTGGTGAGGAAGAGTCATCTAAATGATGTGAACTGAAAAAATCCATGACTGGGTGAGAGGGCTTCCTGGGTGACAAGACGGGTGACGAGCCTAGAAGAAAGGCAAAGCAATCAAGTAGCAGCCAGGTCAGGCGGAAAATTCTCCAACTGACAAAATAATATCAAAAGGCTACAAGACGTTTGTCAACTCTGGAGGCTAAGAAAAATACAGAGACATTACCCTTCAGGTATACCTCAGTATGGGTAATTGTGATGCTAGTACTGTCGTTGACTGAGGCTTGACTGGCATAAGATGCTCCCTATACCTCCTCCACCCTTCACAAACAGCTCCCATGACAAACAAGCATGTGTCATATCTGGTCCAGTCTGAACTAAAAGACACACCATCACATTAACAAAGTGCTTTTTATGTTTCTGTGATAAAAATGTTTAAGGGCTAGCCAGCTCACACCTACCATCCTGAGAGGTATTTACTCAACCCTAAGGAAAAAAACCGAGGCTCAGAGAATTAATTGACCACATGAGGGTGGCTGTATATAGATCACTATTGCCTTATATTCAGTGCTGTCCTTAACATTGCTAAGATTTGAAACTATAAAGGGCCTAGTTGTTTAGTTTATCAGATACTAAGGATGAGAAATACATTCACCAACCTACATAGTTGTAAATACATACACAACTCTCAGCAGTGAGTGGGAGAGAGCCAGAGCCAGATAGATGACTGGCTTCTATCTCTAAAAAGCATAAAATAGAAACGCCAATATTCTGTCACAGATGTACTAGAATTAGACACCATCCATCACTATTTCTCATGTATCCCACACTAACTATAAAGATTCTAGTAACCAGGACTGAGGAGTTTTCCTCTCTTTCTTGCAGAATGAATCAAGGACAGAATTATTACAGAATTTGTTTCTTAAAAGCAAATCTTTCCAGAATTCCTTGTAAGGAGGAAAATTATTGCCTAAGTTGTGTATCTGCTATGTAATACATATTTGCTTTCTTCCTTTTGTTTGTTTTTCTGAGAAAGGGCCTATGTAGCTCAGGTTGGCCTTAAACTGGTTTTCCTCTTGTCTCAGTGTTTTAAGTGGTGGGATTATAAGCACATTCCACCACCATGTCCAATAGGCTCTGTGCTTTTATTGTTGATGAAAATATATATTCACCATTTACAAAATAGAAACATGTAACCAAAGAGCTTGAAAGACCACCTGCAATGATACTGCCCAAGATTTAAATATTAACACATAAACTAGCAACAACAGCATCTTAGAAGTCTGGTTATTAAGTAATATGCTGACATTGTTCCTGTTGGTACACTGAAGAAATGTCATACCACCTGATTTTGAGTGGCTGGAAATGTCACCTCCTTTTCTAGCTTCCACTGCACTTTCTTTTATAGGGTCATTTCCTGCCAAAAAAAGGGGTGGGGTGGGGGGACTTTCAAAATTAAACTGAGCTGCTTAAAAGAAAACGTGTGCATGCACTGTGGGTGACATCGTCTTCATTGAGACATCCTCAGGCATGCAGATAACATGCATCCCTCCCTTTCTGTGTTGTTCCTCCTGCTCCTCTGGTCCTCTCACTTTTAAATAATACTCCTCCTACTTTTATGTCTTACACAAACTAAAAAAAAAAAAAAAAAACCCACATTCTACACAGGTGAAAAAACATTAAGTATTTGTCTTTCTGAGTCAGTCTGGTTTGTTTCACTTAACTGGATGATTCTCAGGTTCCATTAATTTTTCTGCAAACAACACTATTTTTTTTTTTTTCATGGCTGAACATCATTCCATTGTACTCTGACTTTATGGTTTGGATTTCCTTGAGGTATATCTAGGGGCATACAGCTGGGTCATATGGTAGTTCCAGTTTTAGTCTATTTTTAAAATTTTATAAACATTTTATTAAAAAGAAAACCTTGCAAATAAATAAAATCACACATCAAAATTAACTAGGCCTAAAGACTATACGACACACTTAGAAATGGCATTTAGAATGGAAGCTGTGAAGCGCCACATTAAATTTTATATTTTTATATTGAATATATTCTGTGCACTTATCTACCATCAAAACAAAACAAACCAAAATCTATGGCAGAATTAGAACTAGAAAAACAACTAACTTTAAATCATTTTTCATGACTTGTGTCCATTTAGTTTTGAGAACAATCTCCACAGTGACTCTTGGTGGCTGCATGAGTCCACACTCCCAGCAGCAGTGTATGAGAGTCTATTGTATCGGTATTTTCACCAGCATTTGTTTTTGTGTTCTGGATGACAGCTTTTCTGCGGGGTGAGATAGGAATCTCAACATGATTTTGATTTGCAGTTCCCTGACTGCTAAAGAGGTCGAATATTTTTCTTGTATTTATTGCCCAATTGTACTTCTTTGTTTGAGGAACCTGTGTTTAGTCTCTATGTACTGTATAGATATACTCTCTCTAAGAGTGCACACACACACACACTGAGTCCGTGTGCCTATGAGAGGAGCATGCACGTGCCACAGCATATTTGTGGAGATGCTCTCTTTCCACCGTGTCTGACACAGGGTCTCTGTGTTGCTCACTGCTGGGAATGCCTGCCAGCTATCCGACCTGTGAACGTCTGGGGAGTCTCCTGTCTGCCTTCCACCTCACCTGTTAGAACATTACAATTACAGACTCACACTATTGTGCTGGCTTTACATGGGCTCTGGGAATTCCTCGAGCTTACATGGCAAGCACTTGGCCTGCAAACTCTCTTCCCAGCCCTTGCCTGTTTATATTAATTGGTATGCAGAACATTAGTTTGGTTAGTAGGAACTGTACTCAGTAAGGTACTCAGTATAACCAAAATATGACTGACAGCCTGATGAATAATGAGTAAACCCAAGTAAAGGAATTGAAATTTGGGTCGAAAACATTCTGTCATAGTAAATTATTTATTTGAAGTCATGATCCTAAGGTCCTATCTATTGTTCCAATGTAGCAGTCTAAAGGTAGGAACACGCTGTGGGGACAGGGATCTGCAAAACAGGGAATGAGGACCAGGGACTAAGGCTGTGACTCAGAAGAAATCCAGGAGCCCTTTGCCTCTGTGTGGGTTGTGAAATGCACCCTCAAGGACTGGTATCCTTGGAGGCAACTATATGATGACTGCCCATGTTGCTATCTTGCCCTCTCAAAGAATGTTTATTTGGGGCCCATGAGATGGCTCAGTAGGTGAGGAGCTTGCTGATAAGCCTGACAACGTGAGTTCAATTCCTAGAACACACACAATGGAAGGAAAGAACAGACCCCTGCTGGCATGTGCATGTAGGCATGTACATACACATGCACATGAATAAATACATGGAAAACAGACAGTGCTTATTCAGAATGAGTTGTTTGAGCTTGTACTTTACAATAAGGAGTGAAGTAAAAAGAACTTCCTCTCTGTTTCTACATTTAAACCCTCATCAAAGCACAACCTGGTTTGTATCAGATCTGATATCTTCCACACCCATATAAATATTGCTGACAAAGTACCAGAATGTGGTTCATAGAGTAAAGGATCCTGAGGGATGTGTCCAGATCATCTTTAAAGATGGGCTTGGCCATTTAGTTTTCAAAGTAATCCTAGCATAAAACTTCTAGATCAAGAACTGGGATGTAGCATATTCCACTAAGAGATAATAATCACTATTTGGTTGCTTTGACTTTAGTAATTTTCATAAAGTTTCAAGTCAACAGAAGTTTAAATAAAAATCTAGCTGTCGGAAGTGCCAGGAACAACACAGTAAAATGTAAGGCAGGCCCCATATGTTAGATACTGCTTTACACCATGGATTGAGAAGAAACATTTCCACAGTCCCATCACCATCACAGACAAACTCAGGAGCTTCCGTGGTACCCTAATCTGGTTAGCAAAGCATACCTGCCAGCGTAGGGAATCTATCCGGTGCCACTTCTCCCTTCGGATGAGATGGCTGTGAAGCACTGGGCTCAACACTGGGATTCACAATAGCATAGCGAAGCAGTTCTTCATATTCTTCCTATTAAAACCAGTAACAGCCATTCATTATGACAGCTAGAGTGCTGCATCCAACCATTCAATTTTATGTTGTGTTAAGAAATGTACTTAACCACGTAAGAGTCATGTCCAGACCATCATCCAGAAAAATTTAGCTCTTATGCTAAGCTTGAGTCCTTTGAGTATTTCTGCTATGACTTTTATATTTACGATTAAAAGTTTAAAGAGGTAATGAATGGATATTAGTGATTCAATATAATATTTTTCTATCTCTTCTTTCTTACGTTTCAGATCAACTCAAGATGAGACAAGACATGCTGCTAAAACACTATCACCTTCAATTTCAAGTACTTAAATTGAGACAGTTTATATTTTTTTCTTTCTAGTTCTTACCTTTTACCCTTTCTTTCTCCTTTCCTCCCTCTCAACCTTCCTCCATTCCTCCCTTTCTTATTTTGAGGCAGGATTTCCCTATATTCCCTAGGCTAGAACTTGTTATGTAGCCCAGGTTGCTATTAAGCCTGCAATTTTCCTGCCGAAGCATGAGTGCTTACATTACAGGTATGTACCACCACACAAGGTTCCAGAGTTCTCTTGATATGATATTATGTAACTTAAAAGAAGCAAACAGGATCCTCAAACTTATGAAACTACATGGGGATTTTGTTTTCCCTGGTTTCGAGCCCATACTCACAGGGACAGCTTGCTTATTTTTATTGCTGTTGTTAGAAGAAAATGCCATGGATTTGAGTTCATAAAATAAATCTGTACAACTGTAGCTCTGTTTTAGCATTGGAATTTGAAGTAAAACCATAAAAGGAGTTTGTACTATTCTGTCTGAAAACTGTGAACTTTCAATGTGAAAGAGTGAGGTGGTTTGAGTTTCAGCTCAGACTCTTTAATACAAATATGCATTAAGTAATTTTTATGCAGTGTACATTAGTGCTACGGAAGAAGAGAAGCAGACACCTATGGAGTGACAGAAGAAAGTCAGCTGATAGAACACGCTAACACCAGAGCCTTCTTCACACGGCTACAACCAGCGCTTTGTTAGTGATACCCCTTCAAAGCAATAAAACCCGAGATTTAAACTGTTTCTTAGGATTGAGTAGAAGATGTAGCAGGTGCAGGTGTGAACACCTGTAACTGTAGCACTGAGAAGTGGAGATAAGGGGACCGGGAGTTTGAAGCTAGCCTGTGAGCAAGTGAGTTCCAGGCTAGCTTGAAGAACAAAGTGAAACTCTGTCAGGAAAACTATTCATCTAGCATATTATGATGTCTAAAGTCGTTATAATCCTTTAAATTAAATTAATTATAATTCTTTAAATTACTGATGACAAAAGTAATTCTACTTCTTTAAAAAGATTTAAATATTCTTAAAAGAACTGTAGTTATACCGGGTTGTTAAAATAACAGGAAGTCCCAAGTTTTTCAGTTATTAAAATAACCCTAACTTGGTAAGTGTGGATAAGATACAAGGCATTCCTTGGTTTCTATAAATCTAAATGTGATTGACCTTAGTAAAATCATATACAGAATTCCAAGTTGACTTGCTCATGGACTATAAGCACCCACACCTCCTTTACCTCTGTACATTAATAAACAGTAGGGTTTGACCTGGACAAATGGTCATTGATTTCTCCTACCTCCCTCGCAGCTAAGGTAGTTAGAAAACATGGGTTTTGGGATTCGACTCTCTCATATAAATAGACACCCTTACCTAGTTCCCCTTCCAACACGTCTGTCAGTGTCTAATCAAGGTGGCAGATTATGCCAAATGTTGTGGCAACGGGAACCAGAACCTCACTGCACAGAATACAGGAGAATCCTGGGCTCTAGAACTTCAGATGGGCTGACATTCTGTTACTTCACATCAAGAATGAAAGCATTTAGCAGAGGCAGTTAAATGGGAACATTTCACAAAATATTTCTGCAACTCTTGAGTTTCAGAAGCTTTTGAACAGTTCATGGCTATTTTCTGAAAACTTAAAACAATATACTTCCCAAATTAGTAGAGAGGTCTCTAAGTTTGATAACATCATAAATGCAATATTTCATTGTAAATGGAATAAGTAAGTAAAGATGCATGTCTTGTTTTGCCACAAATTAACACTTTGTTTTTGGGGTGGTGATGGTATCTTTTTGTAGCCCTGACTGTCCTGGAACTCTCAATGTGGTCTAGACTGTCTTAAACTCACAGAGATCATCCTGCTTCTGCCTCCTGAGTGCTGGGATTAAAGGCATATACCATTATACAGGGCTTTATGCTTTAAAAATAAAAGTCATAATAATAAATTTAGATGTCTTCCCACCTGAAGGTCTGTGGAGACAGAATTGTCTTGATCAGAATCATTGTGAGCAATGTGAAGTGAGAATTTGTCCTCATCAGATGACATCCTGCACAGAAGCTATAAAACAGCACATGTTAACTTTGGTTGTTTCCCATAATGCTTGAGTCAAAGCTTTTAAATATACACCAGTGAGCAATGCTTTAACTTGCCAACATTTTTCATGTCATTTAAAAGAAATCATCCACTCAACACATTGAATACTTATAGGCAAGAATCATGAGGACAAAAAAAAAAAAAAAAAAAAAAAAAAAAAAAAAAAGACCACTGAAAAAGAGAAAAATACACCCTACTGAAGGTGCCCAGATTTCTGTCTTGAATGTAGATCATATTGCAACTCACCCAAGCGAGGAATGAAGGAAGATGACACTTGGAGAATGGGTGATGAGTTCAGGTGTATTGGCATGAGGTCACCTTGAAAGCACTGGGAAAAGCTGTGGGCACGCAGTACAGTCAGCCTTCAGTGTCCCTGGGTTCCACATCCATGGGTCCAGACAACTGTGGGTCAAAAATAGTTCTTAAAATTGCATCTGCACTGAACATGCAGACTTCACTTATCATCATCCTTTAAACAATACTGTGCCTCCACTGCCTACCCAGCATTTATGGCGTTATCAGGGTTATCAGTTAACTGGAGGCGGTTTAAAGTGTGAAGGATGGTATGTGTAATAGGCTACATGCAAATACCATGCCATATCACACAGGCCTCCTGAGCACCTGCACATTGAGGTGTCTGGGAATCAATCAGCTGGCTGTGGTTACTCAAGGACAGCTGTTATGTGGTACACTGGTTACTGTGTACAGCTCCCAGCACTGCAATTCACAATGGCTAGCATGTAGTGATGGTTCCTAAACTGAACCTAAACACGGGAGGCCTGCATTACAAGTGCAGCCTGAAGATTTAGACCGAGGAAGCACTTACTTATTGGGGTCAACCAAATAAAGGGGAATGAATGAGATCACCCACTGTGGTGTGGTAAAGAAGTATTATCCTACGCGTGCACACACATTGCATGCACTTTTAGAATGTAAATACATGTGTATTTTCTAGAAAGATTTTTAGCTTCCAGTATAATTTCAGAGGAGATCACAATCCTAAAATGTTAAGGACTGCTATCATGAGAAGAGAGTTAAGTCTACAACTGCTAACTTCTAAGATGCAAAGAAGACTTGGCCCAATGACAGGAGGGAAAACCAGAACACTGGAAATGTGTGAGCAGCACCATGAGGGGCGAACCCCAAAAAGGGATAAGAGTGGCCCCTCAACTTGCCGATCAGTGAGTTTCAATTGTTACTGGCCTTCATTATGGCTTGCTAAGAAAATAAACAAGAGATACAGACATTGAAGTGGAAAGGAGAGAGGCAGGGAAGCCACAAAATGGAAAGCCAGGTTGCAGCCAGACTCTGGAAGGGAGTTTTCTGTTTTATTCAGCATTGCTGTGTCTACAAAGGATAATAAACTAAATCTCAGCTGTGACTGTCTTCTATCAAGCTATTTAGAAAAGATAAAATAAGGACGGATCTGCATCAAGGAATAAATGATTCACCAATTTCAAACCAACCATTGAGGTAATCTGGCTCGTTTTAATTTTCATTTCATTTTCCTTTATGATCTGTTTGCAGACCTGGTAGGCAACCAGAGTTGGGAGTAGTTTTTTTTTTTTTTTTTAACATATGAGGTGGTATGACCAGACGTCAAAAACTTTTTCTTAAACATATACTGTGGACACAAAATGATTGTGCTTTTGGGAAATACGTTATCTGCCATTTATCCTGCTCTATGCAAACAGGCATGACAATTAACTTGAGACCCGAAAACAGTAGCATTTCGTCACAGTCTCTGGGTTCAGAAACGAAAGCAGAAGAATGATGCTTGCTTTAGTGGGTGACTCACACTGTCCCATCCCATCCTTAATATTCTCTAACCTAAGAAGAAACCACAAGATGGTCTGGATGCTCCTCTTTGTCACGGGTACAACTTAGCTGAAGTGAGGGCTCAGGAACTCAAGTGCAGACAGAGGGCGAACTAACGTTGTCACTGGCAGGAAGGTGACATCCCCCATCCTAACTGCATGCAAACAGATGGGGAGCGCCAGTCCCGTCCAAGTTTTCTTTCACGACCCTGCAATGCAGCCCCATTTAATTCTGAGTCTTTCTTGGTAGAGCACAACCTCATGCTTGACTAGCAAGCTCCCCGCATCCTAAAGAACAGGACCTACTGGGCAGGTAGCCGAGAGGCTTAGCTTGCGTCACTTGTGTCCTCCCTTCCGGGCACCTCCAGGAACGACAGACCGGTCTTGTCTGGGAGGAACCGGCCCGGCCGCCGCCGCCGGTACCCGCCGTCTCCGCCAGACCCGACTCCTCACTCGCGGCGTCCCCAGCGTCGCCTCCGCAACCACGCAAGCACCCTGCTACCTAGCAGCCACTTGACAGTTTCAAACTGCGGGCAGTGATGAAAGAAAGCCCTGGCTATTGGTCCAGAGCCTCAGCAACCCTGCATTTGATTGGTCTGCGTGCCGTGGGCGGGGCCTCGGGCCTCAGCCGGAGAAGCCGGAAGTGGAAGATTTATTAGCAGTAGAAGGGCGGGGTCTTAGGGAGGCCAGCCTAGGGTTCCCAGTACAAAGCGCATGCTCGGTGCTGCTCTGTGGCTGAGGACTACGGGGCGGCGCTGCGGACAGATCTCATTGAATCTGTGAAAGCTGCGTGCTGCTTATTTTCAACGAGGAGGGACAGCCCGGTTGAGAGGCCTCGAGGTTTAGGTTCCATGCAAAAATAGCCGGCCACAGAATCATTGGCTCGGCAGCTGCTCTCTTAAAAGTACAAGCTCTATTGATTACTTCAGGTTTGGGCTAGGGAGTCTAGTTTTAGCAAATACGTAATTCTGAGGGCCAGGGTTTTAAAAACTGCCAGCCTAGGTTTTGTTAAATGACCTAAAAGCCTTAAACTGCAAGGGCGGTCAGGCATTGGTGGCACACGTCTTTAACCCAGCTCTCGGGAGGTAGAGGCAGGTGGACCTCTGTGAGTTCGAGGTCTAGCCTGGTCTACAGAGTGAGTTCCAGGACAGCCATAGCTGTTACACAGAGAAACACTGTCTTGCAAAACAAAACAATTGCAAGGAAGGGCCTTCTGGTTGAATATCGACCATAACAGTCAGATCATGGTTATAATTTATGATTCTGTTTTTACCAAGTATCCATTATCACCTTGGACCATGCTACCTACATTAAACAGCCTAGGGAGATTGAATGAGTTGAAAACAGTCATCATACACATATAAAATTTAGATTTCTAACTCTTTCATGACAATTGGCGATAGATATGACTAGAGGTACATAAGGGTCCAGGTGCAAAGATTCAACTATATGGGCCTCCAATCTAGAAAATATTATCTGTTTGATACCCACCCTACTTTGTTAGTTAGTTGATTCTACTTTCTTTTTTCTGTATACAGAAATGGCACAACTCTAGCCTTGGCTACTTCCATATTGTCAAGCTAGACTTTTATTATCTTTTTAATTTAAAAGTTATATTGTGCTTGTGGTGTGTGTGTGTGTGTGCGTGTGCGTGCGTGCGTGTGTGTGTGTGTGTGTGTGTGTGTGTGTGTGTGTGTGCTTGGTGCACATATGGAGGTCAGAGGACAAAGAGGAGTTTATTCTCTTTTTCGACCACATGTGACCTGGGGATTGAACGTAGGTCACCAGGGTGGGTGGAAGGAGCCCACTTGAGGAAATGCAACCTTGAGATTAGCTGTATGGCATTTTCTCACTTAGTGATCAATGGGGGAGAGTTCAAACCATGTTGGGTGATGCCATCCCTGGATTGGTGGTCCAGAATTCTATAAAAAAAAGTTGAACAGGCCATGTGAAGCGAGCCAGTAAGCAGCAACCCTTGTGGCCTCTGCATCAGCTCCTGCCTCTGGGATCTTGCCCTGTGTGAGTTCCTGTCCTCACTTCCTTCAGTGATGAACAGCAATGTTGAAGTGTCAGCCAAATAAACCCTTCCTCCCTAACTTGCCTTTTGGTTCTGAGGGTTAGTCACAGCAATGGAAACCCTGACTAAGATTAGAAACCCTGACTAAGATGTTTACCTTTTCCACTGACACTTGGCCTGGGCTTTGTTAGTTCAGGTTAGAGGAGAGAGGCAAAGATTTTTAAGCACTGCTTTTGAAAACAATGTTTTTGTCTTTCTACCCCAAAAAAGTGTGAGAAGCATCAGGCAGGAAAGTGTGCAAAGATTGTGGTGAAAGATGGACTCACTGAAATGTCTACTGAGAGATAGCAAACAGAGCCTCTGCCAGTGAAGGCAAGAGGAAGATGTCAGGGTGGTGGTGTGCACATGAAGGAGTTCACAGCTATTAGAATTCATTCAGAACAGTTTAGCTCATTGGATCCCACCCTTTCTGCATAGCGCTCCCAGGCCTTTTATTGCAGAGGGGAGTTCATTGCTTAGCCCTCATTAACCTCCTGTTCTTCCCAATTGTAAAGATCCTTGCTCGAGCTGCTCCAAGGACATCGTCTAGCACTATAAAAACTTCCTTTCTCGTATTGTTTCTTTCTCCTGATAGACAATTCAGGACTCACTGTGAGTTTCAGGATTAATTACCCCTCGGGGGACACGATTATCAAGTCCCATGAAGGTTTTGAGTCCTACACAGGTGCTGGGTTTGGGATCCTTTGACTCCCCGAGGATGGGTTTGCAGATCAGGGTTATTTGACTTGATAATAAAAATCTGTACAATTCTAAACTGTGTTAACTTGCTTTCTTCTTTCATTCCCTCCTTTTTCTTTCTCTCATTTTACTTTTTATTTTAATGGAGGAAAGAGAAGAGAGGCCATACCCAGTTTCTTTTCTTATTTTCTCTTTCTTTCTTTCTTTCTTTCTTTCTTTCTTTCTTTCTTTCTTCCTTCCTTTCCTTCTTTCTTTCTTTCTTTCTTTCTTTCTTTCTTTCTTCTCTCTCTCTCTCTCTCTCTCTCTCTCTCTCTCTCTCTCTCTCTCTCTCTCTCTCTGTGTGTGTGTGTGTGTGTCTCTTTTTGGTTTTTCAAGATAGGGTTTCTCTGTATTGTTTTGGAACCTGTCCTGGAACTCACTCTGTAGCTCAGGCCAGCCTCGAACTCACAGAGATCTGCCTGCCTCTGCCTCTGTCTCCCAACTGCTTGGATTAAAGGCATGTGCTACCAACGTCCAGCCATACCCAGTTTCGTAGTCACTGATCTAGGGCTATGAAGAGACACTATGTATGACCAAGGATACTTTTACAATAGAAAGCATTTACTTGGGCACTTGTTTACAGTTTCAGAGGGTTAGTTCATGATCATCATGGGGAAAGCACACTGGCATGGTGCTGGAGCAGGACCTGGGAGCTTTACATCATGGTTCACAGGCAGCAGGCACAGAGTTTGAGGCTGGGTCCTGGTGTAGGCTTTTGAAATCTTATTCTATCCACCCCCGCATGTGCAGGATCATGACAACCAATCCATAGCCCCACCGCTACAAGCACA